AGAACTTAATGGGTGCTCAAGTTATTTTCCCTATACATATATGCTTTAGAGTTTTATTCTAATCCCATTTAAGTTATTGACTCTGTATTATATTAGTTCTACGATGGTTTGTCATATGATGGACACTTCTTTTGTCTTAAATTGCGTGAAACCGTTCACTACTCTAAATGATCTTAGATTTGAGTTTTGGGGACAAAACTCTTTTAAGGAGGTGTGGATGTAATACCCCCAAATTTGGGCAGTTATGTTGAATAATTAATTAATTAATTAATTAATTTTTGTAATGATTTTGGAGACCAAGTTGCATAACTCTTCAACTTTGGGGATGTCAATGAAAAAAAGAGAGAGGGAGGGAGGGACAAATAGAATAAAGAAGGGAAACCTAATCCCCTTTTCGAGGGGGGCGCTTTTCTCTTCTCTTCCATTCTAAATCCAAAACCTTTGAAGCCGTTGATCTCCTAGTCTCTCCATGATGCTTCTTCTTCTCCTAATCAAGATTGCTACTATCCATTTTGCCTTTCTTGGTAGAGATTAACTACTCTATAACTGTTCTTTCTACAACTTTTTGGTAAGAAAAATAGCCACAATTCATCTTTTCATCTTTGATTGAGTTGGGTTAACTCTAATATTTTGTTATCTTGATTTTGGGAGATAATTTTCACAATTCTTCCCTCTGATTACGTCAATTTGTGAATGCCAAATTTGGCTTTCCTTGCTAGAAAAATTCTGCTATGTAACCATTGCTCAAAGTTGATTTTAATTAATTGGTGCTAAATTGTGGAACAAAATTGGTTGCTAGAACACTTTGGGTGCTACTATATTACCTCTTGCACACAAATAATCTCTATTGTTTGTTGAATTGGTTGTTAGTATACTTTGGGTGCTGTTAATCTATGTGTCTTATCCAAATAAAATTTTAGTGCTTACTAAATTGGTGGCTAGAACACTTTAAGTGCTGTTATTCCATTTGTTTTGCTCAAATAAATTTTGGTATTTGGGTGATAGTGAGATGAAGAGAGAGGTTGGTAATTAAAGCCATTGTGGTTTGATAACTTGGTAAACCTAAGTTCTATTTAGTTTGGTTATTTCATTAAATCTCTATATTGGAATCTAGAAATTATGTGAACTTACAATTTAGAGCTTTTAGAAATTAGTTTTGGATATTCACAAATTTGAAGGCTATTTTGGAAATTTTAGAAGTAACAGTGAGAGTAAGTAGCAACCGTTTCGAGTTGATTTCTAATTTATTTAGTTGTTGTTCTTATTGGATTAAAGATCTATTGAGGAGATACAAGGTAAAAGAATTGGCTCTGACATGTTTTTGTTGTTACACTTGGGTAAATCAAATAAAAGAAAGATTAGCATTTAATTTCGATCCAAATTGACACTTGACCCTATGTTAGTAATCTGGCCATAAATTCCTCTATAGATTTTGGATTAAGGTGATTTTGACCCTATTAAAAGCTAAGACATAAGGCTACAATTGGTCTATTAACCATTCAAGATAGTTTGGTTAATTTCTTGGTGAAAATTCTATTGGAATTTCTAGTTCAGAATCTGACAAGAACTTGCCCTCAAGTTCTTGCTAATCTAGTGTCCAAATTTTTTACAATCCTTAGCTCTATTATTTGTCTTTACTCTATGGTTTTTAAACATTTTTGATATTTGAATTCTTGGTTCTTGAGGAATTTTAATTCTCTGCAAAGTGAGGTAAGTAAACTTTCAATTTTGCCAATGGTTCTAAACTAAGGCTTTAAAAGCATGTTTTTGAATTGTTTTGAGAGATGGTGGTAGGATCTCACTTGATTTATGTTGATATAAATATGGCATGCTTTGATATTCAGTTTTATAATTGTTATTTATTAAAGCTTGGGCATGCTTTTTTTTATGAGTTATACCTATTGAAACAATTTAGATTATGTTTTCACTTTCATGTTTAAATGTGTGAAACAATCTGAATTATGTCCCTATTTAAATGCCTACATTGTTTGTCTCTGATTTTGTTGTTATTCCTATTATCCCGTTAGTGGGAAGTGTAAACACTAGTAATTCATATTGTCCTGCCAATGGGAGTATAAACACTAACAATGACTAAATGAGGAGACCACTAAGAGATTTCTTTTATTATTATTATTATTATTACGCATTACAGGGTTGAAACAAGAAGCACTATTTTAATGTTCTCTATCCATCATACTTTCTTCTAAATTAACGTGTGGCTACCCATAATTTACTTACTATGATTTATCTCACATTTTTCTTCCTATCCACCAGTTTAGGTAACTAGACTTGAGTCTTTGGGATTAGGGAGAGTGGTATGCTAGTTGACTAGTTCACTTATTAGTGGATTGAGATTAGATTTTAGATCATGTAAGTTATTTCTTTTTATAGATTTTAGTAGACTATTAGAAAATATGGATTATTGCATAGCATATTAAAATGGTTTTGAGCCTTGTACACTTGTGGGACCCACTCATAGGTATATGGTGTCTATTTTGTTCTTGGTTTTGGGGCATGACATTTAGCTAGGATTCATCCATATTAGCGCCATAAAGAGCACTCTTATTGAAATTTATCCTAAGGTTGGATGTCAATTATAACCACTTGAAGATACATTTAAAGGCGCAGATGACCTCTTAGGATGCTTCCCTTAAGAGGACCATGTCATTGACATATTGCAAGTGAGATATTGTGAGATTCAATGGAGATCTTTTAAAAGAAGCATGATAAATATTTTTTACAAAAATACTCCAACACACGCAATTCTATAAATGGTGCTTGTGCACAAAACAAGTCACAAAATAACATTCAAAGAAAATACATCAACTCGCACAATTTTGCACACCAACTTTATTCTTAAATTGTTTTCATTATTCTAGATTAATCTTTTTTTTCTTGATTTCTCTAACTTCTGCAAAATATCTCCTTGCTTCTAGAATGCCGATGATGATCGTTCAACATAATCACTCAGAATACAATGGAGACGAGTTAGTAGCACTAGCTATGTTTTCCTTTTTAAGGAAATTATGGAACCATAAAGCAGAATTCTTGAAATATCTTTGCAACCCATTAACGTAGTCAACATAGGTGATACCAAATCGGATAGTATAACCCCCAGTCCACTCAAAGTTATCAAGAAATGACCAAATGAAGTAACCCCTCACATCAACCCCTTCCCTGCAAAAGTAGTTACTTATATCTTAAGCCAAAAATAAGACATTTAGAAATGTACATTCAAACTAGGAAACCAGCTAGCTACTGACTTGATTGTTTTGGATAGATATGATAGATGGACACTATGATATTTTATTCTCAGGTTATCGTTGATAAAATCACTCATTGTTGACGATGAGTTGGCAAGATAACCCATTCCTGTAAATGATCAAGTTTATATATTTATCTCAAGCTTCTCACAATTTAAAAGAAAGAGGTTAGAAATTGGATACTAGAAAAACTTACCATTCTCCGTTACAATGATAGTTGGACTTTCATATCTTCCTTTTATATATAGCAAAATATCTCGAAGTCCCCATGGACAAATGTGTAGCCAACTAATACTTGTCTACAAAATTATTTTTATTAGTAGAATAATTTGATTTAAAGTGGTGGTGGACTTAAAAAAAAAAAATTAAGGGGGCAAAATGAAAATTCAAAAAAAAAAAGATTAGAATCATGTAAAATAAACAAAAATTTAAAGATAAAAATAATAAAAATAAAAATTGATAAACCATAATAATTTTTTAAAAGCTTAGGGGAACCCGAGAGAATAAGGACCTCCTAGCTCTACCAATGGTGTAAACTGTAAAGTATTAATTCAATTTGAGAGCTTGTGAGAAAAGTAGCTAAAGACGGTGCGCACCGATTCACAAATTGGAATTCCATTTTTCTCCGCTGTAATAGTAAAATGAAAATCAAATTAATGATTTAGGAACATGTTGCAATGCATGCTCATTATAATTTGCAAAATTATTTAAGTGTCAAGTTGTTGAAGCTTACTAGAACGGTTGACATGACTATCTGTGGTGTAGCTCAAGTTGGCACCGGTATCATACCTAGAGTCTTCGGCGTAAATTGTAGTATAGTAATTCACTCCAAGGAAATTAAATGACCCTTTAATCATTTTAGACTGTTCTTTTGTGAAATTGGGGAGTCGGTTCCCTACCATCTCTCGCATTATTTTGGGATAATCACCATAAACCACTGGATGAATAGTCCTTAAAAAAAAACAATATATTGCAACCATTTATGCCCCTATAAAAAAAATTTTAAAGGTAAACAAGGGGTGATGCTATGCTAGGATTGGATCAATCAACATTATAAGTTGTTGTTTTTTTAATTAAAAATCCTAAAATTCTAAATTTTTACTAATCTTAAAACCTTAAATCATATGAAAAAAGTGAAAATCAAGATGTCCTAATATTTTAAATGTTAAGATTTTTTATGAAATTGTTCAAAGACCCTTAATAAATTCTTTTTGTGTATTGATTCATTAAGAATATTCTAACCCTTTCATTATTAATCTTAACATTTTAATTATCAAAATATCCCAATTTTCCCCAATCCCAGACCATATTGTATGAACCTTAAACATTAAAACATAAATAGTAAATTCTAAAATTCTAAACTAATTATATAAACTCTAAACTAAATATAAATTCTAAATACCCATACCTAAGACTAAGGCTTAGCATTTGGTAATATCTGAATATTTTTATTTAAATTAAATATAAAAAAATGGAAGGAAAATATTGTTTCCACCTGCGGACAACTCGGGAGATAGATGTGCACACTATAGCTCCAAATTATTGGGTTGAATCCGAAAAGGACGTGAAGAAGCCAAGGAATAAAGATTGTTTGAACATGGCAAAGCTAAAGATTGTTTGAACATTGAAAAGACAAAAAAAAAAAAAA